AGCCTCCTCATAACACTCCATAGAAAACACAACTTTCTCCCACAGCCTCCTCATAAAACTCCATAGAAAACACCGTTCCTTATCTCTCCCGAACCTTCATCCAACCAAGAGATTTTTTTGAATGTGACGAGAACATAAGATGATACATGTGTCATTATATAAATAATGAGATAAGTGCACTAAAACGTTAATAATTAAAAAAATAAAATTTTCAACTATTTGTATAAAATCACGTAACGTAGAATCTGTATTCCAATCCCAATGAAAATTGTCTCCCTCCAGCCATCATCCAATTGTCTCCCTCCAGCCATCATCCTCTCTCTCGCTAACCTCCATCCAGCTGTATTATCTCATTCACCCCATCTCAGACCCTAGCCATGCCTTCATATCTACATTTCATTTTAGTAATCCAAACCTTAGCCGCAGCTCTCTTATCGATTCCAAACCCAGCCATGGATTCTAAGCTACTCAGATCATCAGATCGCCCATAGAGCGAGCCCAGATCGTCTTCCTCACCACCGTCCAAGCAAAAAGAACTCAGCCACCAAAGATTCGAACCCCAATCGTTGGTATCCACCAACCCTTTAATAAAAATCTGATAAGTAGTTGGGGAAGGGTTGAAAGGGGTATCGGGCTTTTGGGGACTGTTGGACGAAGACGACGACAGGGAGTGATGTGCCTTCTCGGGGTCGTGGATTTGATCGACGATGCAAGGAGAGGCGATGTGGTGGACGCCGGAGCAGCCATTGACGGCGACGATTTCTCCGGCTTCCCTCGGAGTCTTCCCCGCTTGTTAGAGACCCATGGTGGATTGGCACATAGAAGCAGCGATCCTTTGGAGGAGGAAGTTGCGACGGCTTAGGAAGGGCAGTGCAGAGTGGCGGCGAGAATGAGAGAGAGCTAGGCGGTGGTCCCTTTGTTGCTGTCGGCAGAGAAGAGGGTGTTGGGCAGTCGGCTTCAAAACAACGCCCCCTTTTAAGGATTGGGTTGTTTGATTGCCTACTGTCGATGGAGGTGTGGAGAAGCAGTGGCGGGTTGGGCATTTCCCGATCCCTTTTTTTTTCTTCGTTTCCTTGAAAGGAAAGATAAGGGGAATTGAAGGGAAATGAAGATGCTTTGGCCCTTGGGACTCTTGGTTGCTGCCGTGGGGGAATCGGTGGACAAAATCTCCACCTTCATTTTTGCAGGGAGAGATTTTTCAGTAATGAACGGCACATTCATTATCTAAATAGTGGATATAATTGAAAATAAAATTTTTCACTACTTACATAAATACACATGTTATACCCTCATATTCCGTCACAATTTTTACAGAAGAAAAGGAAGAAAAAGAATTATTAAATTATTAATATTTAGTCAAATTTTAACTCAGTTGAGATGAGTGTGGGTCCCGCACTTGCAATGTCATCATTTAACAATCAAATTGATGAAATATTTAACGGAGGTTTGACATTACGATAAATTCGTAAGACGAAGTATAACATTGCAATGTTTAAAACATGAGAGATGAGATTGTGGTGCAACCCATAATTGAGATATTTTTGCGTAATTTAAGGCCTGTTTGGTATCTAACTTGAGAACAGAACTCAAAATTTTGATTTTTTTTTATTTTTAAAAACACATGTTTTGATTTAAAATTTTTTAATTCAAAACTTCGTTTGGTATGCAACTTCTGAAAACTAATTTAATTTAAAATAGAAAAAATCAAACACCCAAGCCAGTCCAATTTCCCAACCACTTCATCCCTCCCCTCCCCAGCGACCCCTTTTGCTATTTACCGACTCCTTCCTCTAAACTCGTGCTGACAAACCGAGGCTGGTCACGTTGGCGATCTCAAATCTGAGATCCAACGATCTCCAAAACCAATAGCTATTCGTTGCCGTCGATTTATCTCGGCCGAAGGAAGAAGGATAGAGGTGGTGGTTATGGTGGATGTAAGTGGGAAGAGATTGAAGAGGCAATAGAGAGGAGAGTATCGAGAGAGAGGGGTAAGAGAGAAAGAGAAGAGAGAGAGACGGGAGTGAGTGGTAAAGAGATAGACAGAGGGAGTGAGGTGAATCCCGGAAAAGAAATATAAAAACACACTTTTTGTATTTTCAACAAATAAGCTTTGTTTTCAAATATTTTTGAGTGGTGATTTTGATAATTATTTTCAAATCAGATATCAAACAAAAACTTAAATTTGTGACTCAAAATTTGTTTTTAAGTTAAAAACATTGGATCCAAATCTAATACCAAACAGACCTTTACTTTTTTTTTTTTTTTTCTTTTCGTGCGGACCCTTAGTCGACTTCACTGAGCTGGGCCCGGTCCAATGCAAATCCAATTAAAAATATCACTGGACCCATGTTTTTTCCACATATGCAGATTTTGGACCAAAATTAAGGGCCAGAATGTTGTTGGCGATTGGATCAACTACTATTTCACTACTTTGTTTCTATCTACCGACTGCTTAGTTTAGTTGATAAAAGCATATGTTACTATCATCATCAATACTTCAACAAAAAAGAAAGGACACATCACCATATTCAATCTTATTGGTGGGTCATTGCGTAGGTCTGCATGTTTATAGGTTAAAAAACATAAGGCCATCTCCAAACTCAAAATTTTAACCCTAAATGCGGAAAACGACTTATTGAAATACAAATTTATTGTTATGTGATGTTCCTAGTTTAATAATGTACTGTTAATTTGTTATATGTGACTTTTATTCACATGACAATGCCTTCTTGGATCAGGACGCCATTCATTATGGCAACGAATTCATTTTATGTAAGTTGCTATCTTAATTATGACTAACTTGTGAGTGGAGACCTATTAAAGAGAAGAAACCTAATTCTTTTTATCCCAAATCTCATTTATGTTTGTCTTAGAGATAGCTTAGGAAAAACCATGATCTATGGGCTTTATAAATACGAGTTTGACTATTGACTAAAGTCGTTCTTTAAAGAAGGACGGACTCTGAATGTGTCATCGACAATGTATCCATATAATCATCAGTAGCCAACAAAACATATCAAACTTATTATGCATATATGCACATTGAAATACTAATACAACATCAATTATGCGTACATTTATTAATAAAGAACGGACATTTTATACCAAAAAAAAAAAATTCATGATATTAATAATTTGAAGCTTGAAAAAGTAGGATGTTAGATGTTACATAGTCGGCAAAATTTTATCTATTAATTTTTATAAAAAAATATATCGTGTGTGTATAAACTAAAGTTTAAAACATTTTATCAAGCAAGAAATGTTAGAAAAAAAATAACGCAAGAATATTCGGTTGCTAATCAAAGGCTTGTGTGAAGTGACGACTGACGAGGATCATCAGACTTAGCAGGCCCATCAAACTATTGATATTCTGGGTGAATGTTGTTATACTAATATCACCTAAGTTGAGTTTAATTATTTGCCAATTTGGACACGTATTTATGATCCTCCCCTTTTTTTTTTCTTTATATTTTAAATATTCTTTTTTTTTTCATTTAAAATTAATTAATTTTCTTTTTTAAAAGAAGGCTGACCGACTTAGTAATTGTGGGGTAGTGGGCTTTTTCACTAATTAGCTTTTTTTTTTTTTTTTGGAAGACTTCTCTAATTAGCTTTAGACGAATCATTACCCTAATCTGGGTCACAAGACCCACAATCCAGGCCCACACGGTTTCATCCCAATTCTCCTCCCTTTGCATTTCATTTTCATTTTTTTTTTAAGAATTTTAACCAAAAATTCATAATATTATTCATTTTAACGAAAAATCATATTTTTACATTAAAAAATCAATCATGATACTATTCACTTTATCCTTTATTTTGTCCTTATCGTTAAAACTTAAAGTTTTCAAGCCTTTTTCATTATTATTATTTTTTCCCTCAAAACAAAGAATACTTGAGTTGTTGGATTGTTGTTGAGCAGTTTTTTTAATATCAAATGAATCTCCCCGAAAAGTAACTTTAATAGGTCGGTTTTATCTCTTTTGCAATCAGTTTTACTATAAAAGTAGTAGGATTTGTTCTTAATAAAATATGTCGAAATCACCAAACCTCTAATATGTAAAGTGAATGCTCTTAATTTGGTGAATGGTAAATGAACGACAAATATTCATTAGGGAAGTATAAAAATTGGAAGGTACTTCCAAGCATGATCTGTTCGGAACTTTTAAACCTTTAGACTTTTTATTTTTATACATTTAACTAAAGAACCAATCGTTAAAAAACGTCGACAATTCTATACCCGATAACACATATAAAAAATTCACAATTACACATAGTAAAAAAAATAAGACTTGGCTGCTGAATATTAAAAAAATCAAAACTTGAACACGTATTAACTCGAGATTAGATATAAGCAAGAACTTCTGTTGAAATGTTCAGCAACGAAATAACGTCGTAATAAGAATATGGTGGGATGACAATGCACCATACATTAGCTCAAATTGAAACCCTTCACGTGTAGAGACTTGACTTAGACGTGTAAGCCCCTTGGCCAAGTCACATACATACTTGTCTATTTTCCTTATAGTCAAGTCTTAGCTCCTAAGCAAAAATTACAACTTCGTAAGTGTGAACTCTCCCCAACCTCCACCGAACCTCCTACACGTTCTAGAATCCGCCACCAAATCCGACCCCCTCCACTCTCAAACAACGACTCCTCGCTCTCCTCTTCTCTCTCACTCCTTACTTTCTCTCTCCTCTGCTCCATCTGCCACCTCACCTCCCACGTCTCGACGCGTTTATGCTGTCATCACATCATCATCCCTCTTTTTTAGCTCAAACTTAATAATCTCAAGAAAAAAAACATATATATATTTTATTATTTTCTTCCAATTTCCCTCCAAAAATGTAAATAAAAAAAATATCTTTGTATATTTCTTCCTTTGACAAATGGACACGCCATCTTCAAACCCCTTTTGTCCCTTTCCCAGAAATTTCCTCTCTCACGATCCAAATAGTAAATGAATTATCACCTTTATTTAACCATCCACTCCTCACTTCTCCTCTCATAGTTTCTCAACTCCCCTGTTTTTTTCTCTGTTTTTTTATCTACTCACTCTTCAGATTCTCCACGCACACTGCATAAAATACAAATCTTTCAGAAGCCCAGATCATATTTTTCAGTTTTCTCAAAAACCCAGATCGCGATTTGTAGTTTTTCAATCGAATATTGATACAAAAATGGAGAACAACAACCAGTCGTTTTGGCAGTTCAGCGACCAGCTTCGAGTTCAAGGTTCCAACTTCGCAAATCTGAACATCAACGATTCGATTTGGAGCAATTCGTACAGCAAGAGGCCCGATGAGAGGAGGAATTTCGATATAAAGGTCGGTGGCGAAGTGAGTCCGATCGTTAATTTGACCCCGAAAGGGTCCGAATTCAACGGGTTCAACGACTCGTGGGTCGATAATCTGAAGCCGAAAGCGGCGTTTTCCGACGCGAACGGCAGTTCCAACGACGGCTGGAACAGCTTCAAGCCGAAGGCTTCCGAATTGAACAATGGATTCAACGACAGCAGGTGGAACAGCTTCAAGCCAAAAGCTTCGGACTTCAACAACGGTTTTAACGACGGGTGGAAACTCGGCGGCGCCGCCGTGTCGCAGAATACCACTGTTGGTCTCAATGGCGGTTTCAACAAGGGGATTTACTCCAAGCCTGCATTTCACAACAATAACAACAACAATGCTATGAACTTGAAGCCTTACAAGAACAAGGCTCACGAGGATGATCAGATGCATGGCGGGAAAATTGGGAAGAAGAACAACAATAACAGCAATCCCGGTAAGAAGAAATCCGGCAGCGGCGGCGATGATAATAACAAGGATGGAAAGAGTAGCGTGGATAAGAGGTTTAAGACGCTTCCGCCGGCCGAGTCTCTGCCGAGAAATGAAACCATTGGTGGATATATCTTTGTCTGCAACAATGATACCATGCAAGAGAATCTTAAGAGGCAGCTTTTCGGTATGCCTTTCCCCTCTAATTTCTATTTTCCATCATTTTTTTCTCCCAATTAATTTTTTCTTTGTAGCATAACAAATATTTGGTGTTCTTTTATTATTTCTCCTGGTATTTTTTTTTTATTTTCTAAATTATTATTATTTAGGGTTTGTATCCAAAAATTGGTGTTAGCTAAGGTTAGCCAGGACAGCTGACCATATTTTGCACATAGGTCGAATTTTTTTATAAATTAGAATAGTTTAGATTATCAGTTAGTCGGAACACATCTCAGTAGTGAGAAATACTTGAAGAATTAAGTGATTAAAAAGAAAAAAAAAAAAAAAAAAGGTGTTTTTGGGCTTGATAGGGTTTTTTTAAGAACTTATGTATGTGGACTGGGTTAAATTCTTAAAAATTAAGAGGAATGAGTTTTCAGTAAAAATTAAACTCGCATTAAAGTGAATAGGTATTATTATCTTTTACCATGATAAAGCTTCGTCTGCATTTGTTTTTGGTTTTGTTGGTAGGATTAGTTGTTAATTTGATTAATTGATATTAAATTAAATATTGTGATTTTGCAGGTTTGCCTCCACGTTATCGTGATTCCGTGAGGGCGATAACTCCGGGGTTGCCCCTTTTCCTCTACAACTACTCCACCCATCAACTCCATGGAATTTTTGAGGTTTGTGTTCCTACCCAGCAGCTGACATCTGTCCATTAGACTGTATTTTATTATATTTTATTTTTGAAGTAGTAGGAGTGGAATTTACTTGTTCAATTCAACTTTTGGCCAAACTTCTAGAGGGTATTGTTTATTTGCAAAAAATACCAACTGGTAGTTTACCTAATATTGCCAAAACCTAACAATCTTTCTTGTGTGTGAATGCTTAGGCTGCAAGTTTTGGAGGTACCAACTTTGATCCATCGGCCTGGGAGGACAAGAAGTGTCCCGGCGAGTCACGTTTCCCGGCTCAGGTTCGAGTTTTTACTCGTAAAGTCTGTGAGCCACTTGAAGAGGACTCATTCAGGCCAATTCTTCACCACTACGATGGTCCTAAATTCCGACTTGAGCTTAGCGTACCTGAGGTAATGCCCACATGACCAAAGCTCACTACGCTCTTGGCACATTAGTGTGATCATAGCACTGGCGTTACTAATTCATGACAACAAATTTTACGTTTTGCACTTTTGTACACGTGTTTGGATTAGTAACACTTAGTCCGACTGTAGAATGCTGCACATTGATTGTTGTCGGATTATACAGGGAGTTCTATGTCTTAATGAATGTTTGTACAATTTTGCAGGCACTGTCTCTGTTAGATATATTTGCAGACCAAAACCCTTGAACAGCAACAAAATATAGAGGCCGTACAGAACTTACAAGATACAAATTAGTGAAGAGAGAGAGAGAGAACATAGGGCTTACTTGGCACCAGATATATATATATATATATATATATATATATCTATATAGTGCGTCGAGAATGTGAGAAGAGTATGAGAAGAATCAATCAGAAGACGGTGAAAACATATATATATATATATAGTGTATAATATGTAAACATGTATAATCCTATGTTTGCAAGACGCCCATATATAATGTTATGCCTTTGGCTTTTCTGTTATTCTTTGTCTTTTGTAATGTATAAGCAAGTACAGATGCTAAGAATCGATTATTTATTATGGAATATGAGGACGATAATATATGGCGGATGCAAAGAACTTGGATTATCAAAATACTTGTGTTGCTGCATTGTTTAATACTTAAGCCGCCTTCTTGTTGTGAACAAGATCAATATATATGGTTAGGACCGTTATAGTTGTGGCCTCCGTTCACCGGCGCTTTGGAAGTCGACCATCTGGCCCTATTATTGACGTGTCAGGGACTACTGATGGTTATTAGGGACTCTAGATTATGTGGAACTTACCGCGGGACTGTGTAAACGGAAAATATATCTATGGTTTCACGACAATTCTTTCGTATGATCTAAGTACGCAACACAATCAATGAAGACGACTATCTATTACCGGTTGTGTATAAACAAGTGTTTGTATCTGTTTGGGCCCAAAATATTATTTTGGGCCGAGCCTGAAATTATTCTCGGCCAAATGGTATTTATCAAGAATTTTCTTGTGAGCCGTTCAGTTAGGGCCGGTCTAATCCTGTTGCGAAGAGGATTAGTTTAGATAAAGGGTGAAGTAGTCGATTCCTAGTGGAACAAGGAGTTTTGAAGCCGAAGGTGCTTGGGATCAGGAGATGAATCTGGTTTGTTATGATGTTTGGTTCAAAGTCCTATTGGAGCTAGGACTGGCCAAAACCTAATCAGATTGGGTTGAGGAGTTCTAATCCGAGTACGATTCTAGCTCGGCCATGAAGGGGTTTGCTATTATAAATAAAGGAGGGAGTGCATCGTTCAAGGGCCCCTCCAATTCAACACACAAATTGCCATGCGCAAATCCTCTCAACAACCTTTGAGATTTTATCCTCTTCCCCTTTCTTCATGCCAACACATTTTCAGTTTGGATAAACAGCACTGTGAAGGTAACCGACAACATCTTCAGTTTGGATAAACAGCACTAGAGCCGTGGAATCAGCAGATCAAGGAGCACATTCAGTTTGGATAAATAGCACTACTTCGAGACTGACTGGTTATTTATCCACGTCTCCGTTGACAAGGATTTTCGAGTCCTTGTTGGTAAAGGTCATCTTATTAGCCTTCTCGGCGAAGTGAGGTGTTATAGGTTACTAGGCTCGGCATGTTGAACACCGAGTTGTTTTATGATTGGATACTCACAAGTACACTTTAGAGTTCAGCATTCCAACGGCCGAACCACATTTATCATCAAGACATACATCTCTTTCGAGTATTTGTGTCCATATAGTTTGGTGCCAGTTCAGCGTGCTTATACTTTTATGAATATAATCACCGTGATCGAACCCAGCGCTGACGATTTGTGAACTTCACAGAACTAGCAGTCTTGTCTTCAGACTCTAGAAGCCGAAGGTCGAGACATGCTCCTTCCTCGACCGAAGTTGCAAGATCAAGAAGTCAGCAGCTAGCTCAACGCAACATCAACATATTTTACTCTCCGGCCGAGCTCAACCTTCGAGTTGGCACGCCCCGCACATAACCGAATGATGTAGTTAGCTCATTAGTTACTTGGCTTGCGCGCTACGTAGACTTGGTATTTTTTAGGGTCAACAATATCCCTCTCATCTCGTGACCTAGTCCGACAATTCTCTCGTATGACCAAGTACTAACACATTTACGAAGAAGACTATCGATTACTGGTTGTGCAGAAATAAGTATATGTGTGTCGCTCATCTTGTAACCAAGTTAGAAGAAGTCGTTCTCCCATTAATGGATTGCTTGCAATAAAAGATTACAAGAAAACAGTCTTTTAACATAACGAGTGGTTGCTAGTTAGGCAATCTGTAGCTCAAAAGGGCTGGTTTTCTCTGATAAGGATCCTCTTTGTGGGAATCTAGGGGATCAATCAATCTTGTCCATTTATCGTATATCGTGCGGTTAGTTTTCGTTAAGTACTATTTATATTAAATTTTAAATTTTGAAATTTAAATGATTTCTAACCGCACGATATATGATGAACAAAAAAGATTGATTGATCCACTCGATTCCCACAAAGAAAATCTAGAAAGGATCCTTGTTCGGTTTTCTCTCCCCATCTTTTTCCACTTTCTGTATTCCTTTTTCCTTACTTTGTTTTAGTCGGCAACGTTAATGTTACAATAACAACAATAAAAAAATGGTTAGTTAAGAATTTGTTGGCCCTTAATTCATGAAATATTGACTGGCTCTCTCTCTACTCTCTGTTCTGGAAACGCAAAAAATATTGACTCGCAAACGTGGCAGAAACGAATTGGCTTGAATAATATTGATAGTTGATAATCCAAATTTCAGAGTCCAAAAGGGTGGGCTGAAGTTGACCCTCCAGAATGTTTGATTGTCACGAGATCGAGGTGGTTATTTTTTATTGAATAAAATGCTTTATTAAACATTATATTACAAGAGTCGGTCTTTAAAGAAAACTTTATCTTAGTCACTTGTTAATTATCATCGAATCATATGAATTATTATTCGTAATTTTTAACATATTGAATTCTTACCCACTACTTCACGTTCAAGACTCTGAATTTTGTCATGGATATTTGGAGCAGATAGCTACAAATTGGAAGACTGTATTTCTTTTTCATTTTTTTGGTCCAAAAGGTGAATTTATTACTAGCAAACCATAATTACCAAAGAACAGGTCTAATTACATGGAAAGTACAAAGATGATAGGGAACCCCCACACCAAAGTTTTGAGCCTAAAAACAGAGAAACCCTACAACTTAACTTGAGCTACCACCGGCAAAGTATCGCGGAAAAACAGAGATCCAATCGTCCAAATTTACAAAAACAATGGAAGGATGACTCCAACAACTTTCACAAAGACCACATAGATCGAAACAGCAACCACAGACTAAAGAAAGCTAGTGAGATATGCCCCACGAGCAATAAGTTCACGGAAGGCTTTATTTCTTTTGGTACTCATGGGCGCACTCGTCGCTATCTTATCTCTTCATGTTTCGACTTGAGAGACAACAAGACAAATATTTGGAACAGATAGCAATAGTAAGGGTCCATAGCTCAGTGGTAGAGCATTTGACTGCAGATCAAGAGGTCACCGGTTCGAACCCGGTTGGGCCCTCTCTTATTTTATACATTTTTGTATTTTTTTGGTTCTACTTCGAACTTTCTATACATTCTTCATTCTATCTACCTACAAATCACTTCCCTTCTCTGTTTTACCATGGTTTGCAAATAAATTGTGGGACAAACCGTACATTTCTCAACACCATTAAAAACTTAAGACATCATTAGAAGCAAAAAGATAATTAAAACCCTACTAGACATCATTATACAAACGAGTACTGACAACAAAATTATCACGGTAATTATACCTTCTAATCAAACATTATGCCAGTACAACATAAATTCTATAAATCACATATGATTAATCACCGTAAATTCCCATCACATATAAGTTTTTCTCGTGTCATATCCCAGTGAAAGTTAGATTACGATGACCAACAAGCCACGCAGTGCACTAGTCCATTCTCGTTACACTTGGGGCACCTCTCCCTCTTATCCCCAACCACCACTTTACAACTCCCTCCGCACTCCATACACGGCACAAACCTGGCCCCACCACACCCCTCGCACACTTTCCACCCCACCCCTCTCTCCACACGTGCCAGCTTCACCATCCTGCCAAATACGCCCGACTCATTCAGCTCCACCATCTCATCCACTCCCCCAATATACCTCCCCTTCACAAAAACCCTCGGTACGCTCACGTTATTACCATCACTGCCACTACTCTCCCCACCCAGCAATCCCTTCAGCTCACCCAAAAACTCCCCGTGCAGCGCCACGTCACGCTCGTCGTACACGATCCTGTGCCCCTCCATAATCCCCTTCACCTTACTGCAGTCCTCGAACGTCCGCCGCACGCCCCTCAACGACGTCGTGTACACCACCACAGATTCCGCCCCGCCAGGCGGACACTTCTCCGGGTACTCGCTCAGTGGGTCCCGCCTGGTCTTCATCATCCTATCGTAAGCCGCCAGCTTTCCCTCTTTCTCTCTCTCCATCCTATCCCTCATTATAAACATATTATCCCTCACCGACTTTATGACTGTCGTCGTCGACTCAGCCGCCGCCGTGTCAGCTCGTGACTCGAACCGGGCCGGCTCAGCGGGGACGGGTTTCTTCCACGCGGACCGCATCGACTCACTCTTTTTCAACGGAGTCGGCTTCGCCGTGTGTCTCGCGTCGAGCTCTTCGAGCGTGTGGAAGGATGCGCTCTTGCGCGGCTTCCTACTAGCCGGTTCGTTCTGGGCTGGTGATGGGCTCTGTTCGGGCTGGGTATCGGGCTCGGACTTGGGTTTGGGCCTGATATTGGGCTTCAGGTCCTCTAAGGCCTTGCTGACTTCGTCCCATGTGTGAGGGGCGGCTACCCCCGCTTCGTTTTCGAACGAGTTGAGCTTGTCGAGGATTTGGGCGGGCATGTGCGCGGGCTTTTCGCGGCTTTGCTGCTGCTCCTGCTCCTGCGACGTTGTATTGTCGAATACCAGCCAGGGCTCTTGGACGGAGTTGATATCAAAGACGGCGTAGCTCGCTGGTGCCGGCTTGTAATCCACGGCTGCTGCCTCTATTCGTTTCGAGGAGGCACAGCCCATTTTCTCAAAGACGGAGTTAGTTGCTTCGACTGCCGGATTGTATATGTATTTTATTTGAGCTAAGAGTATGGTTTTTTCTATTTTTTTTTTGTATGGGATGAACTCAAACAATCGAATGATATACGTCGGGGGAGGAGGAGGGATGTATTTTGTGTGGCTTTTGGTATGTGGTGTTTGGATAAACAAGGTGCACCTCTTGGTTTCTGCCACGTGGGATGTGATTTTTTAGTGTGGTTTTATTGGTTCATGTTGGCTTAGATATGTTAGTGGCTGGAATGTGATTTGTTATGAAAATCTTTGGATTATACGATGATACTCGGCCTATACCACAATTTTTTTCATCGAGACTAGGAAATTTCTCTCTAGAGTGACACCGAGCTCAAAGGAAAACTAGACATATTTGTGATTAAAGTTGGAGTGAAGTCATTAGTCATCGTTATGTTTTACGTGATGAGAAATATAGAAAAAATTGATTGTGAACAAAATTTTTAAAATTTCTAGGACATTTGTTTCTTTTCCAACAAACAACCAATGAGAGATTTCCTTTAACTTGTGTGGTTTAGTCAAAATTCTCTCCCTTTCTCGAACTTCTTTTGCCATACGAACAAATTTTGAACATTTTAATACATTCACTAAAAAAAAGAATTCAATACAAAATAAGACATATATAAAGTTTGTTATTTATACCTAATCAGGCGAATAGCAAACAAACTGATATGCAGGTACATGAAAGAAATTGAAATCTGTCCATTTCTAAATTTATGTAGTTTCCTTATATAATTGAATGGGATAAGAATTACAACGACTCAAGAACAATGGGACCCTGTATAAAGGTATCCTAGGGCTCCTGGATTTCAAAAGCTATTTTTTACCATAGTAATTAGGTTAAAGTTTTAAAAAATGAAGTCGAATATTGGTGTCGTCGGCACAAGCTCTGCGGTGATGATGGTGATGCTTTTTCTATTAATCAATGGGAGTGCCATGGCAAATGAAAAATGTCGCCAACGATGCTACGGCGGCTGTGGTTTGCCTCCAACTGCAGAATGTGTCGAAGAATGTCAAAAAAAGTGTGGAAATAATGCTCAGCCTCAGAGTCTTGCGGATCAGGTTACTCAGTACTGCAAACTGGGTTGCTCACTTCACCGATGTTCCAAATACAAAAATGGTATGTACCAATCTCTTCTCATGCATACTTGTTTAGAGTGCTGGAAACCCCTTGGAGTGGTTGAAATTCTGAAAGTTCAAAATATGAGCTATACATCACACGACTACAATTTGGCTATTTTTTAAAACGGGAAATGATTTTCGCATACGTTTTTTTCTATTTATGCACGCTTCTGTTTGTTTCCGTTTCTTGTATCTTGATTCTCTTTTGATTATTCAATTTAGAGATCATAAATAAATAGAAATGTGCATAGGGAGGAAACTAGTCTGCGGAATTCAGTTTCCTTTTCAAAGTTTCCAATTTTTGTGCATTTGGCTCTCCGTTTTTATCCATCCATCATATAGTTACATATGCTTGTGTTTTTACACGGCAGACGAATCAAAACTGGAAAGCTGCGTGGGTCGCTGCTCCAACAAATACTGCAACATCAAACATCTTAATTAGACGTTCCATGTCTACATGATTGCTGGAACAAAAAATCCCAGCTAGCCTTTCATAATAATTTATGTATCTATAGCGATCAGCATCAATATCTATGATGTAATAGCATTCAAATAAATCTGGTTAGAGAATTGTTATTAGCACCCTAAAAATCTCATTTGGTACTCCAAACTTTCTATACTTAGAAAGAAAAATACACTTGCGAGGAGTGTAGAATGAGATTTTTGAAATGCTAATAACAATTCTCATCTGATTATTAGGGTTTAAGAAGTTAACAATATTTCGTACGAGAGATTTTGTCTTTCGATTTTTTCTTGGCATCTCCATGCATCCATACCACAATTAGTGATAAGATCGAACAACTTAAACGACTTAAAAATAGGCATATTTTGTTTACCACATTGTGCCAATATTAGGGAGTCATGACACAATTAACACATAATTGCTGTCTTCCTAACAATACTCATTAAACATAACATGGTCATGGTTACACAATTGATCGTAATATATCGGTACAAGCTCTTTATATTATTTCTTGACTAGTAGTGTTTAGAGAAATTTGAGGGAAAAGTGTTTAGAGAAATTTGGAGAATTTTAGAAGAGAATTGGACTTAGGTTTTGGAGAAAATGCGGGGTTATATATAGGGGTGTGGCTGGCCCTATTAGGAGAATTGGGACCGGCCACATTTGGTTGTTTTGTGGGATTGAATGCAAGATATTATGAAAATAATATCTTGCAATTACTTTAGGCAATTAAACAATTAATTAATTAAGGTAATTAATCCCAATTCGAAAAGAATAATTGGGAGTTACCTTGTGGGTGATGATTTGATGAGGAGTGATGAGAGGGTTTAAAAGAATACCATTTTGATCACCTTTGACCCTTGACCTCGTGGGAGTCTCGATGTGCCTCAAGGGTAATTTTGTCTTTTTCACCCAAAAGTTCATGTGTTGCCTCCATATTTTTCTTGATTAATTTTGGCTCCACAAATGCCCTCACACTTGTTGGGCTGCTAGCAGGAAAGGGCAGCAAGTGTAGAGATCTTCTTGTTCTAGGAAACATAGGGTTGTTTCCTATTTTGCTGTAGATTCCCTCTTTAATTGGAAATTAGATCATTCTATGAAAGGGAAATAAATTACTTCTAAAGTCTATTTAAGTCTACCTTAAGTAGATTATTATATCAACTTTAGAGAGCAATTTATTCTACCCTACAAGAGAGAGAAAGCTAGAGGATATTTGTCCCCCTTCCCCTAGCAATCTTCTACACTTGCCCGTGCAAATGACCATTTTTCGTTGATTTCTTCGTCTTCTCCGTGTTGCACCGAGGTAAGAAAAAAATTAATTTTCCTTGTCTTCTTCTTGGATGGCGCTGTCACAGGGCAGTTGTCGGGGTGGTGCGACACGTAGGTTGGAAGAGGCCAAGAGTCAGCTCAACATGGGCTGAAGAGGTGTTGTGGTAGGGACCACTGCTTGGCTGCTCATGTTGGTTAAAGCCAAGGGCAGCTATGCGGCTGGGGTCATGGATTGAAGCACTGGGGCGCAGTGTTAGGCGAGCCACATGGCTCATGTCCTTTGGGCTCTGGGACTTGATGTAAGCCAGGTCGGCAAAAGAGAGAAATAAAGAGGTCGCGGGCCTCTTGGGCTTCTAGAATGCTAGGCATGCAGGCCTCATGCTTGTTGGTTGGAGAGGAAAAAAAAGAGGGAAAAGCCAGTATGGGTTGAGCTCCTTTGCTAAGTACCGTGAATAGCATTAACTGCTTAGTCCTATTTGCCGGGAGAAATGTGGTGAATAACATTAACTGCTTAGTCCTATTTGCCGGGAGAAATGTGGACTACTCCTAAAAGATGAGATAAAGAGGATAAAGGTAGATGTATTGGCTCGTCTGATCGTTGTCGTGGAGCCTACTATAAATGAGGGTAGAAAGAAGAGATATTCCCGTGCTGCTCAAGAGATGCCGGTTGAGAAAAAACTAAAGTCTTCTTTTGCTGCTCGTGAGGGTCTGCCTGTTGCCGAGAGGCCTGTGATTGACTTGACTTACTCCGATTAGAAGAAAAATGAGGCTACTAGATTTTAGCCTATGATGTCTGCCATGCTGAAAATGACTACTACAATGGCTGATATGATTGCTCAGCGTAGAGGGTTCTGTCATGCTCCTAGCACCGAGGTCTATACCAAGACGTCCGTTAAGAGCTAAGTCTGGTTCACCTTTGGATATACTTGTAATTATGAAGAACGATAAGGTGGACTTTGCTGCTAAAGTAGCGCCAAGGCCCACTCCCCTTGTTGTCGAGACTGATTCACCTGCTAAGAAAGATGAGACTGTTCATGTGGGTAGTTGTGAGAGATCCACCAAGCCTGTTTCTGGGGAGGCTGCTAAGATTTGTGTGCTTTTGAAACCAAATCTGCTTGAAGACATGGATGTGTGTACCAAGCTTGTTGATGGCATTAAAAGGGTTGTCTGCCCAAGTTCATTTGCGAAGCATACGACTAAATATAGAAGGATTGCTCTGTTTGTTATGATGCAGAAAACGATGATTCTGGAAGTCGAGTATATGTTTCTTGACCAAAAGGATACCAAGGCTGCCAATGAGGTGGAAGAAACTATGGCAATCGAAGCTTATTCCTCGGCCGAGAAGATCAAGAGGTTAGAGTTTGAGCTTGTTGATTTGAAGGGGTCTCATATCTCTACCCCCACTTCTCTGAAGCTTGAGACCACTTGCCAAGAGATCGTTGATTTGAAGAATAGGCTTGACTTGATCCAAGTTAAGTATGAAAGTGTAGATAATGAGATTGGATGTTACATACATCAAATTCAAGATCTTGAGCATGCCGTCTGTAAGCTTCGTTCTGCTGCTTATGCAAAAGATGAAGAGCTGATTGCTGTTTATAACCAAGTGATCCACTTCAAGAAGAACGTAGATATGCTTGAACCCTAAGGGGGCGTTTGTTTGCCCTCACTAAGTTGGACTGGACTGGACTGGACTAGCTATTAGTCCAATACTGTGTTTGTTCCATGCTGGGACTAACATTAATGAGACTAAAGGGGACTAGCATGGACAAAACCCTTCACTAAGAGGTCTTAGCGAGACCCCCCAATAACCATGTGACTAGCTAAGACTATCCTCTCTTTCTCGTTCTCGTCATGCTCAACGACCACTCCCGACAGACTCCTCGTCATCTCCGGTCACCTAGATCAATCATTAACTTTCCGACTCTCTTTCAGATCCATTTCACAACCAACTTTCATATAAAATATACCAAATTGAAGTTGAGAGTGACAAGATTACGATTTTACCTGAATCGAGGCTAAAATGTGGTCGAATGTGGCCGGAAAATGGCCTGGAAGTCTCGGCCTATTTGGGTTTCTTCAAATCCATGACAGATTCGAGCATTCAAAGCTAAGATCTCGGTCCAAGGATGGTGATGAATTTTTTGGCAGTGCTAACTTCATCCAATTTAATGAGGGTTGGCCGGAAAACACATCGGGAAACCTGCAACTCGTCGGCAAAATTGAAGCCGTGAGGTTCTGTTCGAACAACGCATAGCCAGAGAGGGAGGGAGGACAGAGAAATAGAGACTTGAATCAATAAGGAGT